AATTTCCCCATCATTTTCATCAGATCAGTCTCGGTGTTTGCAAGAGATATGACCCAGACGAGCAAATGCAGTGCCGTACACTAAATCTCCGAAAGCTGCCCACTTCTTTTGTGCTCCACTGTTGTCAACTGTGTGTTGGCTCAACTTTCCTTTCAAGTGAGCAACAAACTCCTCCCTCTCAGAGAAGAGCTCTAATCTCTTGGCATGAATTCTTCTGGGAGTCCTTTTGCCTTGGGGCTGCCACTTTTGTTGAATGTGAATGTTTAGCTTGGAAAGGATAAGTCTATGCTCAGTCCAACTGTGCCACACACATTGCCTTTGTTACTCTCATATCCTCTCTGTCTCTCCTCCTTACTAGTCTCTTAAATGCCAACGTTTGATATAAGAGTGCATCCATGACATTTACTATATTCAGATAGATGGAAGACAGTGTTGGTGATGAGAAGGTGATGAGATGCACAAGTCTTCAGTAGTAAATGATCATTGCTGTTGCTGTTTCCAACTCCATTCCTCCCAAGGACTCCTTGCTATGTCTGGTAGTCTGGTACTCTAGCATTGAAGTCACCCAGAATGATAAGCCGTCTTCTTTTGGCACACTGAAGATAAGTGTCTCCAAGACTTCATGAATTTTTTTCTTTGATCTCATCAGGGTTTGTTATGGTGGGAGTATAGACACTGATGATGGTGGCATGGCATTTTCCAGCAAGTGGCAATCACATTGTCATGAGCCTGCAGTACCCTCCTTTTGATAGGCAAACAAGTTTGTTGACTAGATTAGTTTTAATTGCAAAACCTGCACCAGCTTCATGGCATTCCCCTTCACCATGGCCACTCTACAAAAACATGTATCCAGCTCTGATTTCAGTAAGCTGAACTCCATTTGCCAGTTTTGTTTCACTCAGGGCTACTATTTGGATGCAATACCTGCTGTGTTCTCTTCCAAAATGAGCTGTTCATTTTTCAGGTCTGCTGGATTTTGTGTTGTCTATAAGTGTGCAAACATTCCATGTACCGATCATGAGTGGAATCATCTTTGCAGAAGTTTTTGTACATTTTTTTGTGTGTTTTGACACAGGGTGTGATCCCTGCCTGCTGTGGTAATCAGGCCAGGGCATAAGCAGACACTTTTTAGGGGACCTTTTCTAGCCCCTTACTCATACTAGGAGGTTAGCAGTGATATCATTAAAAGGCAGTTCACATGACCAGGGGGCTACTGAATCCTACTGCTGCTTCTAGTGAGAAAATGGATTTATGGCCTGGGACACTTGTGTGCAAGCCTGTGACTACAACTCCCAGTGTATCTGCACCTGCTGCTTCATCATTTGCATGTCACCACAGGACTTTGAAATAGGTTAAAATGGTAAAATGGTATGGGCGATGCATTTTCATTCGTGCATAAATCAGCTTTAAGTGAGGAAGAATTGCATGAAGTTCTCACGTCAAAGATGCTAAAGTCATCCACTGCATCTTGAGCCATCACCAGCCATCTTGATTCTCTTCTGCCACTGAGCTGTGATGACTAGAAGAGAGAACAAGGCCAACAGCTTCAGCTGAGCGATAATTGAACAGGTTGTGTCATATGATGGTGATTAAATACTATTGTGCTATAAGAGAAATGATGAGGTGGATGCTTTCAGAAAAACCTGGTAAGATTTTCATGAACTGATGCAAAGTGAAAAGAGCAGAATCAGGAGAACGTAGCACACAGTAAAAGCAACAAAGTACAATGAGCAACTGTAAATGACTTAGTTATTCTCAGCAATATAATGATTGAAGACAATTCCAAAGGTCTTATGATAAATGCTATCAATCTCCAGAGAACAAAGTCATGGAGTCCAAATGCAGATTGAAGCATATGTTTCTCTACATTATTATCCTTGTTTTTCATTTTGTTTTGATTTTGGTCTGCATTTTCTCTTTTAACATGGCCAATATGAAAATGTTTTGCATGATTGCCCATGTGTATAATCTATACAAAATTGCTTGTGATATCAAGGAGGGAAGCATTGAGTCAGAGAATTGGGAACAAAAAGTTATAAAAAATAAATATTACCACTTTTGTCTATTTATAACTTAGGGGAAAAAAGTAAAATTAAATGCAACCCTCTGCCCCAAAAGCCAAATCAAGATGACTTTACTTAATCCAGTGGAAACACCACCTCAGCATCATACTTCAGACATAGAAATTCTTTGTGGATAGACGATTCCCTCAGAACACAGAAAGAAAACTACCTAGTGAGGCCTCTTCTCAGAGCAGTTTTAGGTCTTAAAGATTACCAGTGTGAGGAGAATTATGATCCTTCTATGTCATTGACTAACACACACATAAGGACAGAAAAATCTGTAGGTGACAGGAAGGTCAGAGTTATCTGCCCAGTTTCTAGGCTAACTTATGATATAGAAAGTAATGTATGCCTTGGTATAACTGAATGTATTCATTAAAATACATACTAAAAGAAACTTTAATTTTCATGCTAAGTGTTTGCTTTGTATTGGCATCATACCTATTTTGTAATACCTTTTGTGTACCTTGCATATTTTATTGTATGGCCTATTGTGTGATTTAGTAGGCCTTCAGTTGTTATTATTTCTTTGCTTAGTTGCTTTTATCTGATGTATTTTTATGTGCCACTGAGAAATGTACATGGGGTAAATGCTGTGGGTAATATGGACAGGTAGTCATTGACCCAATCTATCAAGTGTGGCTTGGTTCTGTATTATTTCTACTGCAAAGATTTTGTTTTCTGTTGTTGTTGTTGTTAAGCACCCATTTCCTCCATTTCACATTATTTCTCTTAACACTTGATGCTCTTCCTGTCTTCTATTGTATAATGTCCCCTTGTTTGGAGTATAAGTTCTCAGGTCATCTCAGGGACCGACAACAGAGAGGGGATACTTTATTTTTTTAAACAATATATATTTCTTTGTCACATTGTGAGTTCCAAGTTGTACTTCTCCCTTCCTCCCTAGTCCTCATTTAAGAAAGCCACCATTTGAGATAGATTTACATGTGGAAAAATACAATACGTAGTTCCATAGAACAGTTCTTTGTCTGGATGTAGACAGCCTTTTCCTTCATATGTCCTTCATAGAGGATTACAATATGTATAATACTAAGAGTAGCTTAATCGTTCAGAGATAGTATTTGAACCATATTGTTGGTATTATGTTCAGTGTTCTCTTGGTTTTGCTCATTTCACTCTGCATCATTTCATGTAAGTCTTTTCATATTTTGCTATAATCAATCTGTTTGTCATTTCTTATAGCACAGTAGTATTACTCTACAAACATATACCACAACTTATTCAATCATTCCCCAATCAATGGACATCCACTCAGTTTCAATTCTTTGACAACCCAAAGAGAGCCGCTATAAATATTTTAGAAAACATAGATTTGTTTCCTTTTCCCTGATTACCCTGAGAAATAGACTTAATAGTCATCAAATTGTACGGATAGTTTTGTACCTTTTTGAGCGTGATTCCAAATTGCTTCCCAAAATGGTTGGATCAGTTCAAAATTACACCAATACTATATTAGTATTCCAATATTTCCATATCCCCTCCTGTATTTTTCCTTTCCACCTTCTCCCCTTTCTACCAATTTGAAAGGTGTGGGGTAGTATCACATAGTTGTTTTAATTTGCATTGCCTTAATCAATAAGAGAGAGGATTTTCATATGACATATGCTAAGGATGTTTCTTAGCCCCCAACTCATTTAAAAAAGGGATTTGCTTTCCAACTGGGGATATAAGAGAGAGCCATTTCATAATTACTCTTCTGAGGGCAAAATTCTCATGATTGTTGGCCATATTGTATACGTTTTTACCATAAATCTGAGCCTGAGAATAACCTGATGTTAATACTTGTCACTGCATGGGGAAGTACAATTGTTCTAGGTTCTCATCTTCCCCCTTCATGGAATGAAAGATGTTAGAATGAGACTGCATTCTCCCTAACACTTGGCCATAGGGGGTTCAGCTCACATGGATATCAGTTAGGGAATCTGACACAGGATAGCCTTGCTGATTGGGTTACTAGGAATCTGATTTAAATCAGAGTTCAGCACTAGTTCATTTATGTCACTCTTACAAAATTGGGGATAAATATACAACAAAGATGAAACTTTTTCTTGCCTTCAGGACAAACCTGATGACTGAAGGTCTGATGTGCATGGATTTTTTTTTCCTTTAGAGATTAGGCCTTTGGGTGCTCAAAGTATATGAAGAAGAGAATCATTGCTTATCTCACAGAATTCTTACTAATAGGGCAGGGTTAATGTGCAATGCCAACCTGGTCAGTCAATTTCATCATGAGGAAGTGTTCATTTCTCATCTCAGATTGGGTTTAAGCTAGAGAACTTTTCCTCCTAGAACAAGGACAGTTCTTGGCATCAGAGAAATACCATTCTCCCTGGAATCATGAGAGGACTACAATGCATGCCATAGATAGTCTTGGCAGAGGAACTGCAGGTGTTTGGGTTGAAGAAGAGGTGAGATGAATTGGAGAGGACATGTACCTATGCCTGAATATTTAAATAACAGCTTCATCCAGGATACACTAGAAATGTTCTAGTTGAATCAACATGAAATAAATAGGACCAATGAGTTAATGTTCCAAAGAGGCTGACTCAGTTATAAAGGTAAGAGAAAAAGTTTGAATTGGTTTATTTGTCTAAAAGGGGAATGGTCTTTGGGCAGTGACCTGAATTTTCCCTCCTTGGAAAGTTTCAGAGACTTAGTAATTGCTTTATGGAGATGCTGGAAAAAATATTCTTGATCAGGTTGAGTTTCAGAATTTTATTCACATTGTTACATTCCATAATAGAGGAATTTTGCAACCTAAAATTATAAATTAAAATTAATAAGCATTTCTCATTTATTTATTACACCTGCTCTATATAAGCCATTCATAGTTTGATATACACATATATTGGAGGATAAATTTCTAGTCTGAAGGAACTTGAATCACCACTCCAGTGTTCTTTATTTTTCATTTAGATCACCTATGGCCCATTTGATGTTCTTCTGACTGAGAAGATTCAGTACCCATACATCTATCAGATGGGCAGCAGGGAATCTACTCTTCACCTTGCATTCATCAAATTGATGCTACATTTTGGCTGGACTTGGGTGGGACTGATTATTTCAGATAATGAGAGAGGGGAAAATTTCTTCAGTGATCTGAAAGAGGAGATGGGCAGGAATGCTCTGTGTGTAGCCTTTAAGGAAAGAGTGTCTCCAACCATTGTATATGATGAGTATCATTATCTCGTTTCTAGGATAATTGCATCATCAGCAAATGTGATTTTCATCTATGGAGATACAGACTTGCTTCACCAACTTGTTTTTGCATTTGTTTATTATGTACTTTATGGGAAGATGTTGGTTGCCACCACTTCTTGGGATTTTTCTCTTGATTCTAGTATTGAATCCCTTACCCATTTTCATGGTATAATACTATTTTCTCATTCCCAGTTGGAGATTCCTGGTTTCACAGATTTTATAAGAAGTCAGAAAATCAGTGTGAACCCTGATGACATTTTCCTAAAGGCTTTCTTGGAGTCAGCACTTAAGTGCAGATTTTCAGACAAAAGTCATATAGAAATGCTTCAATCTATTTGCCCAGAAAGTGTTTCCTTGACAGATGTACATAATGTGAAATTTGACACAATCATTATGGAATGTAGTTTTAATGTTTACAATGCAGTATATTTAGTAGCCCATGCTCTCCATCAAATGCTCCAGTCTGAGGCACAAGAGACATCAGAACGTGAAAGAAACCCAGATCTTTCTTGGAAGGTAACATTCCTCTTCCATTCATGGGCTTAGAACAGGGTACTCACAACATTCATTTGTTAGTTATCTGTTCTATGGATGATGCAGCAATGACCTGAGGCAACGGTATTACCTCATATTCCCCAACATTTTGTCCTGTCTTTTTCATTTGTGATTTTATTGAATTCTGGGTGAAAAGAATGAAATTGCCTCGGACAATAGGCATTGATTTCACCTCTGCTATAGCAATCTTGGTGAAGTTGTTGGTGTCCTTCCTTTTACACATCTCTCTGGGTATGTGTCTATATGGCAGTAGAGTTTTACTGAATTGGTTCCAATTTAGCACCTTTACAGTGGCCTAGTTCACAACATTGCAAATGCCAAGGTGCTTTGTGGGAATTTCTACTTGATCACTTTTAATTTCTATCAACATCTATAGCTGAGCAGTATACTTGATATTTGTACCTGGGTCCACTTGTTTCAAAGATGTATTCATGTTTTCTTTTTTAAATGTAGAGGAATACTTTATTGGCCACTATATCCTAGATATGTTTCTTAATGCTTGAAGGAACTGGTTGCTATGGTGGAAATGTTGGGAAACTGGGCACACAGTGGGTGAACATAGCCTAGTAGAGTTTATAATACAAGAGTGGACATGTGGATACAGAATGATCAGCAGTCTAGAATTGGAGAGAGCATATTTCAAATATCTCAATGAGAAATTGCCTGTGGTCTGAAGTTCTACGAGATCAGTCATTCCAGGATAGATAGGAAGTTCTAAGATAGTAACTCAGTAGTCAAAAAGAGAGATGATACCAATGAGGAAGAAAAGGAGGATTTGTTTGCATACAGCAATGATTAGACACCAAAAGTTCAACCACCAACGCAGATGTATACATCATATGTACAGGAGAAGGAAGAATGGGCATGCAAGAGATTACTAAGACTAAACATGAAATAGTCCTGTAAAGATAGTACCAAGAGAATCAAAGATCAAAATTATCTGAGTTTGCTGAAGAAATGAGCTTAATAGGAAAAATTATGATTTTTACTTCTCACAGATTTTAGATTGTTTAAAAAAAGTAATTGAAAAATAGATGAGAACATAGCTCTGGGTGGATAGAGACATGATTATTGACAATAGAAAGGTGGCTGCTCAATTATTTCCTCATTTTATGTTTCACTCAGAATGAGTTTTGTAATAGAATAAAAAAAAATGAAACACTTGATAAGGAGTTGTTTGGTCTGGGTACGAATAACATAATGAGATTCCTGTAGGCAATCTCTAATCAAAATGAACTAAGTAAATGGACCAGTGGAAGACAGTCAGACCGGGGCAAATATTGTTGTAGCCCAAGACCACGAGTTGGATCAATTAAATATAGTTTCTGTGGGCATTTGAGAATTTGGTTCTGTGCTCATAAATCAGAGGGAGAAGCTTGAGCCTTTTGTGAACTGGCTGTTTTATTGTTTTAATGAAGTTTTTTCCTTCACTTTTTAGAACCAGACAACTCTGATAATTAACATAGTGCTGGGTCTAGAGTCAGGATGACCTCAATTAAAATCTAGTCTCACGCACTTAATACCTGTGTGATCTTGGGCAAGTCATTTACCTTCCATTTATAAAAATAATAATTATTCGTATCATAATCATCATTTATAAAATAATTACTAATGGTATAATATCATGTAATTATGCAACACTTATAATGTAAAATACATGATAAAATGTACCATCATATAATAATACAAATAGCACTTTCTACTACTTCTATTTCTATTACTACTTCTACTACTATTACTAGTAGTCGTAGTAGTAGTAATATTATCACTGCTACTACTACTGCTATTACTACTCTGACCATCAAGGCAATTACTACAAGTATTACTATGAAAACTACTACTAATATTAACTGTAAGATAGCACACTTCTCCTTGAATTCTGGGACAGTTCTAGAATAGATTCTTTTCTTTTTTTATAAATCAAATCTTGATTTATTGTTTTGTTGATTGTCTACAAAGAAAAAAGATTATGTATAAACAAAGTGATGGTAAAAAAATAAAAGGTAATAATGCAGATTAATCCTAGGAGAGTGTTGTGGGTATTGACTTTTTGGGGAGAGCTGCTGCCTTGTGCAGGGACAGATTTTCTGGACTACACTCCACTCCCTACCCAGTGAGAGAGATCTTTCCTGCTGATCTTCTAAATTGTCTTGGGCTGGAAAATTGTTTCACTCCCTCTTTTTTGTTGGTTCTGCCACTCCAGAATTTGTTTTGAGGCATTATTTTCATGTTTTTTTAGGGGAATTTGTGGTGGGTTATACAATCCTGTGCTTTTCTCTGTCATCTTGGTTCTGCTCCTAATTCTATTTTTTGAGGTGATAATTCCTTTGTTGGATATTGTGCTTCTTTTATTAAGTTATTTTTCTTGTATCACTCATTTTTTAAACCAAGTTTTCATCAACCACTCTTGTCTCCTTTAACTTTTTCAGGAATTCTTGTTATGGTGGTGTCTAATTTGAAATTTCATTTATGGTTTTTCTTGTTGCTGTTTTAACTCTATTGTCCTCTTTTGATTTGGGGTCTTGATCTTTTCTGCCACCATAGGAGTTTTATGGTCAGGTCCTTTTTTTTATTTGCTTATTTTCCCAGACTACTCCTTCATTTTGAACCTTAACCTAAAGTTGAGCTGTGGTCTTAGGGTGGGTGTGGTGGGCACTGTCTTAAAGGTTAGGCTTTTTTATGGAATTCTTTTAAGAGCTAGTTCTGGGGGTCGACATATTATTGGTGCTCCTGAGGTGTTGTTCTCCAGGGAGAAGTGTAGTGACTACACTCTTTGTTTGGGATCTGGTCTTTACCAAGGAAGAAACTCTGTTCTTCTGTAATTGCAAGAAGAAACACTACCCTCTGACTTTCACCTGTGACCAGGTCCCCTGTTCCTCTACATTCTTAAGGGCTAGTGCTTCTCTCGGCCATGGAAAGTCTTTGGGCTGAGTTCCTTAAGCTGCTGCAGCTGCTGTTACAGTTACCTCCAACGCCCACTGCTTTTATTTTTACAATGTCCCATCTGGTTTAGGCCCCAAAAAGGTGTCACAGACCTCTCTTTGCAACCTTGTAAGTTGTTTGGGGCTGAGAATATGCCACATCATGACTTTTATTGGCTATGCTGCTCCAGAATTTCATATGATGCATGTTTGGAGGAGAACATTAAGAGAGTTCAGCTGGGTTGCTGCCTCTAGTCTGCCGTCCTGACTCTGCCTTACAAATAATTTTTAATGAGGTAATTTCAATGACTTTATTTTATTTAGACAGGAGAATTAAAGATTATCTCCTTTCCCCCTTCCCACATTTTCTTCAATAGCTTGGACTTTATATGTGACACTATTTATAGAGCACACTAAATATTCCCAGCCACACTTCCTTCTTTCTTCTTCAAAGTTCTTTTTATTCCTTCCTGTCGGATATACTGATTAATTCTCTGTTGTTGTCTCTTTATATTTCTCTGGTACCTTAAAGAGAATATAATAATTTTCCCCCTACAATTGACTTTTTAATTCTTTGATTATCCACCTTCAAAAATTTACTGAGGAAACTTGTCTTAGAAATGCCCAAGTTTTTAAAAGCTTTGCCCCATTTTCTGAAATTTCTGGAATTCTCAAGTTTTATATACTTACACATATATGTATACACATAAGCATATACACAAAAGTGTACACAAATACACTCACATATAGTAGTTTGACTAGATAGGGAATTTGGTACTGAAAGCTTAGTTTATCTGATTTTTTTCTATATTATATTTACTTTGCTTTTCTTATTTACTGTTCTAGATTAGAGAATTTGTATGACATAAGTTTACTTTCTTATGTGTATTACTTCTTGCTTTTGTACCACAACTCCAAACTTTCCTATTATACTAATTCTCTTTTCATTTCCTACTTTAGCCTTCCTATCCCCTATGATAAATGTCACATCTGGGTGTGTGTGTATGAGTGTGTGTGCGTGTGTGTGTGTGTGTTATTTGCAGTAGACGTTGCAGGTCTTCATAGAACTGATAAACTTTGGCCTGTTTGGCATCAGTGATTGACGTATAGAAGCATAGACTTGTATTATTATTATGCTGAGTAGTTTGCCTTGGATTCCAATAGATATCATTCCACCATTTTTGAGATGATACTCTAATACTGTTTTTCTCACCCTTTTATTTACTATAAGGGCTATTCCATTTCCTCTAAGGGATTCTTACTCACAGTAGTTTATGTGATTATTACCTGAATTAAACTTTGCTAACAAAGATTTGTGCAGTCAAAGCTATGGTTTTGCCAGTAGCAATGTATGGCTATGAAATTTGGACCATAAGGAAAGCTGAGTGCTGCAGAATAGACGCTTTTGAATTGTGGTACTACAGAAGACTTTTAAGTCCTCTGGACTTTAAGTCCTGCTGTCCTCCTGGACAGCAAGGAAATCAAATTAGTCAATACTTAAAGAAATTAATTCAGACTGTTCACTGGAAGGTCAAATCCTGAAGTTGAAGCTTAAATACTTTGGCTACATAATGAGAAGACAGGACTCATTGGAAAAGATCCTGATGTTGGAAAGGAATAAAAGTAAAAGGAAGAGGAGACAGCTGGGGATGAGATGGATAGTGTTGTGGAAACCATGAATATTAACTTGGACAGACTTTGAGATATAGTGGAGAATAGAAGGGTCAGGCATGCATGGTCCATGGGGCAACGAAGAGTTGGGCAGACCTCAACAACTGAACAATAGAGATGTATTATTATTTCTGGCCTGTTAAATTCTTTCTTTTCCCCATGAAATAATGAAATTTTACCACAACATTTCTCAGCGAGAAGAAAGTAAACATAATTTCTCTTATCATGCTTCTCACTCTACATTTTCAATCTCTCTGGGGAATTTTCTTCAATATTTAATTTTTTAAACATTTAATACTAGTTAATTTTTTTGTCAATTGCACATAAAGATAGTTTTCAATATTGATTTTTGTAAGATTTTGAGTTCCA